TTTGTCGGTTGTGGGGCTTGAACTCTGGGCCTGGGCGTTGTCCCTCAGCTCTTCAGCTCAAGGCTAGCGCTCTACCACTGGAGCCACAGTGCCACTTCAGGTGTTTAATTTTTTCTGGTGGTTAACTGGAGATAAGAGTTTCACAGACTTTTCTGTCCGGGCTGGCTTTGAACTGCAATCCTCAGATCCTGAGTAGCTAGGATTATAGGCGTGAGCAACCAGTGCCTTTTTATACCCTTTTAAATATCTTTTTCTTTTTAAAATTTTTTTCTTGAAAGGTTGCTCTGAAATTGGTTCATAATGCTTTACAAGATACAGAAGATTCAAGTGTTCCTGAGTATATAAATCATTGTGTCTAGAACATTTTAGAATTAAAAACCCTGTTCAAAGCCGGGCGTTGGTGACGCATCCCTGTAATCCTAGCTAAAGGAACAGTGCCCAGACCCAGAGTTCAAGCCCCATGACTGACAAAAGAGAAAGAGAGAGAGAAAGTTTGAGTTCCTGAGAGCTTGGGAGTGTCCTAGCACCTTTAAAAATAGGTTAGATTTATATTTGGCTTCAATAGATCAAATGATCTCTCCCCAAAGCCAGAGTTCTGGGCTAATGACTGCTTACTCTCCACTTTCCACTGCAGCCAGCAAAGATAGGGCCACTGAGGAATTTTAATGACGTTACTCCTACTATTTTATTCAAAAAGCATTAGCTTTCAAACTCAGTTCCTTTGATCTGACTCATGTAATGCAAAACTGTAGCTCCCCAAGGCATGGTGGGCCCTTGGGAAATGTGTGCCTACAAGGACTGTAAGAATGAGGAACAGACAGTGCCAGCAATCTGTACCTCTCCACGCTTGGAAGGACTGTGTAGGAGCCAGATGCTTGGTTCCCACCTAGTTCCCAGTGGCAGCTGCTCAACTCGAATTGATTGCATTCCAAATCATTTGCATGTTGCTGCTGGTAACCAGAGGTCTGACGACCAGGTTGTTCTTTTAAACTCACATCAGTTTGCCTCCCAATAACAGCCAAAACAAGTAGTCTAGAAATCATGTGCTTACACCCCCTTTCTTTTTTGCAAACTTAGATGTCTGACTCCACCCTTCATGCGTTCACATTTTCTTCCTCTATGCTGGGAGAAGAAGTTCAGCTCTATTTCATCATTCCCAAGTCCAAAGAGAGTCATTTTGTCTTCAGCAAGCAGGGCAAACACCTGGAGAGCATGAGGCTGCCTCTGGTTTCAGACAAGGTGGGTGACGTGTCTGGATGGAAGGGCTACCAGGCATCAGTTTATCCAAACTGCTCAGATCTAAAGGTTTTATTTTCCTTCTTGGGTCTCTGTTTTCCTTTCAGCAGAATTTGAATGCAGTCAAGAGCCCTATTTTCACTCCTTCCAGTGGTCGCCACGAGCATGGACTCCTAAATCTTTTCCACGCCATGGAGGGCACCAGCCACCTCCACCTTCTGGTAGTCAAAGAGTATGAGATGCCACTGTACCGCAAGTACTGGCCTAACCACATCATGCTGGTGCTTCCCGGCATGTTCAATAACGCAGGCGTGGGTAAGGGGCTTCCCTGGGGTGAGGGGAAGGGCTGTTCCATTCCTGGGATGAAATTCCTCATGGTGGCGTCTAGAAATTGTCCTGTCCTCCTGACCAGAATTTGATTCCTTGATTCCCCACCCCCACCCCCACTTTCTGAAATTTTGCACATTTGTGAACTTCCGAAACCTAGTAACTAAGGAAGTTACTGGTCTATTGAGTGTTCTGGAAGAGTTTAGGCTGCATCTCAGGGTAGACTGCAAATATTCTTGGGCAGAGAGGAGAGAAGGTAGTGCTGTACCTGTCTGGAGTGTCCCTCATTTCTAGGAGCTCATGGCAACTTCTAGGGGGCTTCTGCCAATCAGAACACTGCAAGCATCATTACTACCACGCCATAGTGAACATGCCTGGTGGAGCCTTTCTTGCTTTTTCCTCAGGATGTTAAAGAGCACTAGGGAACAGGGGTTTTTGAGTGTTTCTAACAGCTGTGGGTGACATAGGCTACAGACAAGAAACCTCTAACAGAAACCAGTGTTTCATCCTGAGTACATCTTGCTCCATAGTTTTGAAGTTTTCCAGTTAACTTCAGTGTCTGAGCTCACTGTTCATTGCATTGTGATTTGTATCTCCCTAATGATTAGTAATGTTGAGCATTTTTTTCATGTGCTTTTAAGCTATTTGTACTTCTTCTTTAGAAAACTGCCTTGCAGAGTCCTTTGGCCACTTTTCCCACTAGATTACTGCTGTTAAATTAGAGGTCTTTTTATTTCTTAGTTTGCACTAGTTCTACAGGGGAAGGACTCATTATTACCTTTCCACATACTGATTGGCATACACTGTAAATCTTATAAACTCCATCACTCTCTGATCCCCTTTCCAAAACAATTTCAACAGGTTTCATCATTCGTTTTTATGGTTGCAAATAATATATTTTGCAATATACAACCTCCTTCGGCCTGTTAGCCCAACTCAACCCTATTGATCAAAAACTTTCCACAGACTGAATAGTTTTCAGATTTTTCATTTCATTATATTCTACATTTCTTTCATTGATTTTATGTTCATATAATCTAGCAGTGTATTACAAAATTACTCACCTCTTTTTCCATTCCTAAGTAGTCCCTTAGGTTTGATTCATATTGTTTAACATGTTTATAAATGTGCAGACCAATAAGAGTGTTCATTTTTCTAAGAATTCTCATCAGCATGTTTGTTTACTTGATGACTACCAATCTGACTGGAGTAAAAATGAATGTATGGTTTTGATTTTGCACAGTCTTGATGACTAAGGAACATTTGTTAAATTGCTGAACATTTCTTCATGAATCACAGCCATTTGTTTTGCTTCTTGTGAGAAATATGATTGGATTTATTTATTGATTGGATTGTCGTCTTGCTGTTTTTTTATTTATTTTGGATATTAATCCTTTATCTGATGAATAGCTAGCAAAGATTTCTTTTCCTCCATTCCATTTTCAGACCTGCTCTTGTGTCAGTACCAAACTGTATGCTGCTATAGCGCAGTAGTATAACAAATTCTGACATTTCCTCAAGTAGTATTTGTTTTACTTAGAACTGCTTTTATTCAAGGTCTTGTGTGCCTGTGTATTAACTTTTGGGTTGATTTCTGTAATTCTGTATGGAATCACATTGGGATGTTGATGGGTATTCCACTGAATTTGTAAATATCTCTTGATACTATGGCCATTTTCACAATATTAACTCTGCCACTCTATGAGCATGAAATGTCACCTTCTGATGCCTTCAGTTTCTTTGGGGTTTTATAGTTTTCAGGGCAGAGGTCTTTTACTTTCTTGGTTAATACCTAGGTATTTTGAGACCTGTGAATGTTTTTCTTGATTTCATTCTCAGCCTGTTGATGCTGTATAGAAAAGCTGATTTTTGAATATTGCTTTTGTATCCTGCTACCTTTCCAAAGGTATTATCAGTTCTAGAAATTTTAATTTAAATCCTCTCAATTTAGTTTTGATATGCCACTATACTATATCTAAAACGTACCCATTCCTCCTAGATTTTCCAGCTCATTTGCGCATAGCCTTTTAAGTATTCCCTCATGATCCTTTCTTTGGTATTTGTTGTGACTGTCTCTTCACTAATTTTTATTGATTCTCTTCTTTTGGTCAAATTAGCTAGAGGCTTATCAATCTTATTTTTCAAAGAACCAGCTTTGTTTCATTGTGTGGACCTACAGTTTCTATTTCACTATTTTCTGCCCTAATCTTTCATTTCTCTCTGCCTATTAGTTATGGATTTGGTTTGTTCCTGTTTTTAGTATGTTCAAGTTGCGTCTTAGCACTATTTTTTAAATGTAAGCACTCATAGCTATGAATTTTCATCTCACCACAGCCTATGCTGTTGCACCAAAAATTCTGCTAGGCTGTGTTTTCCTTTGCATTGAATGGGAACTTCTTAATTTCTCCCTTTATTTCTTCAATGAACCACATATCATTCAACATGTTATTCTGTCTCTGTCTGAATATTTCTGTAGTATATTTTCCTGTTTTTATTAATTCCATTATGTTCAGATAGAATATAAGGAATTGTTTTCTTGTATTTGCTCAGCCTTATTGTATGTTTCTCTTTTGGAGAAAGTTCCTTGGCTGCTGGCTCAGAAGAATGTATATTGTGTACCAACTGGGTGAAATACTCTACAGATAAGTCCATTTGGTTTATGGTGTCATTTACTTTCTAAGGTTTCTTGGTTTTTTTTAGCTTGATCTTTCGGTAGGAGTGGAGTATTAAAGTCTCACACTATTATTGTGTTGGAGTCTATAATGGCAACCATAACTTTCTCTTTATAGATCACTCCTTTTATTAATATTAAGCAATTTTTGTCTCTTCTGATTTTTAGCTTGCAGTCTATTTTTTTATCAGCTATAGTATTACAAATATGCACCACAATACTCTGTGAGTGAATGTTTTCTGAGATGTGTCTCATTTTAAAATTGGATTTTCCTGGCTTCTGGCATTCAGCTTAAGTTTTGTTGCATACATACCTATTCTAGACAATCCTCTGTTGGTCCAATAGTTTGGAAATACTTTGTCTGATTCTTTAGGCTCTCTCTTAACTAGGTTGTTTCTCTTTTGTTGTGCAAGAGCTTCCCATTTGTCTTTTTATTTCTTGGCCTATATCTTCTTCCTGGTCCTACTATCTAAAATAAACAAACAAAAAAATCATTGCCTATAAGTTGTTCTCTTTCAAGAAAAGACTGTTAAGATTGTTCCTATTTTTGCAAAAAGTTATTGGGATTTTGATAGGGATCCCTAACAACAAAAAGCCTTCCAAACTATAATCATGTATTGTCTTTCATGTATTGGTGTCTTTATCTTCCTTCAGCACCATTCTATACTTTTCACTATACAAATGCTTCCCTCCTCCTCAGCGGTTATTCCTTTTGATGTTATACTGTAATTGAAAGTTTTTAATTTCATTTTTTAGATTAACCATTACATGCCTAGAAATGAAGCTGGTGACATTTTTATCTGTGGCATTGCTGAGTCTATTTATTAGTTCCAACGGAGTTCCAGATTTTAGAATTTTCTTCATATATGTTGTCAGGGAACTGAGAAAATCTCCTTTTCCAATTTGGATGACTTTCATTTCTTTCTCTTGCCTAAATTTTCTGGCTAGGACTTCCAGTACTGTTAAATAGAAGTGATGAAAGCAAGCATCTTGTCTTGGCCCTGATCTTAGAGGAGACACTTTTCACCACTATGATGATGTTAGCTGTGAACCTTTGATATGTGACCCTTATTATGTTGAGAAAGTAAACTATTACACACATACTCTTGAAAGGTAGGTTTTCCTCAGCATTACCCTCAATCTAATGAAAATGTTTTGGGTTCCTCCACAGATTGAATAGTTTTCAGATTTTTTCATTTCATTATACTCTATGTTTTGTTTCATTTTAGACTAGCCCACTCATACCTTTTGGCTAATTCCTGATAGCTTATTTTACACAGATACTCCCTAAGTACACACCATGTGTTAGGGACCATACAATTCTGTGAAGACATTCATCATCTTCTTACAGGAGAAAAAGCCAAGGCTCAGTAGAGTAAATCTGTTTGGGGTCACAAGGCTAGAAATTGGTGGAATCAGGATCCACACAGGAAGCTTGTCTCCCATCTATTGGCTTACTATATTATTTTTTGAAAAAAAAAAAAAGCACATCTAGGGAAAGAAGGCCATATTGCTAAATCATCTTCAGAGAAGATGCTAGCTTCCAGAAGGTATCTAAAGCAGCGAGCACATGAGTAGAAGCAGCATTCCCACTCACTGTAGACTGTAGCCCTGGCTACTCCCTGGTGTGGGACACGTGTGGCTGCTTCTAGCACAGAGCTGCTCATTATGCTTTACAGAACATTTATCACATTCCTTTTGCGGTATCCTTTGTTAAGGAAACTAGGTTCTTTTTAGAATACGTTTGGATCATAAAAGATGTTTCTAGTTCATGAGACCTACTCAGGTAAGCCTCTAGCAATGGGTTCCAGGAATCTTTACTGTATTTTTTGTAGGTCACAGGGCTTGAGCTCAGGGACTGGGCACTGTCTCTGAGCTTTTGTACTCAAGGTTAATGCTCTACTGCTTTAAGCCACAGCGCCACTTCTGTTTTTCTGGTAAATTGGAGTTAGAATCTCCAGACTTTCCTGCCTGGGATAGCTTTGAACCAAGATCCTCAGATCTGTCTCCTGAGTAACTAAGATTACAGGTGTGAGCCACCAGCACCTGGCCAAGGAACCTTTGTTTTAAACTGACTTCCCCAGTAACTCTTTTATCTGCTGGTCCAGAGACCCACAGCTCAACACTTGGCTCCTGCCTGCATGGTGCCCATGGAATCAGGAAGCCCATGGAGGGAATATGAACTGTTGGAGGGCACTGGCCAAGCCTGAGGGAAGGATATGGAGCTGTGGTTGTGCTGCCTTCCAGGTGCTGCTAGGTTCCTCATTAAGGAGCTGTCATATCACAACCTAGAACTGGAGAGAAACCGCTTGGAGGAGCTGGGAGTCAAACGCCAGTGTGTCTGGCCTTTCATCGTTGTGATGGATGACTCCTGTGTTCTGTGGAACATTCACAGTGTTCAGGAGCAAACCAGGTAGTGATACTTCTGAGCAATTCTGGAATATACACATTGCTAGAGGGGATGGTTGGATGGTTTTCTTGGCATCAGTTATTTGGAAGTAAAAGAAAGGGATACAGCATTCCACAGAAAGATCAACCATGAGACCACCTTCACCAGCACATTCTGCAATGATTGAGGGATTTTTTTTTCCTTCCTGTTGTGGGTCTTGAACGCGGGGCCTGGGCGCTGTCCCTCAGCTCTTCAGCTCAAGGCGAGTGCTCTGCCACTTGAGCCACAGCGCCACTTCTAGTTTTCTGGTAGTTTATTGGAGATTAAGAGTCTCATAGACTTTCCTGCCCAGGCTGGCTTTGAACTGTGACCCTCAGATCTCAGCCTCTTGAGTAGCCAGGATTATAGGCATTAACCACCGGTGCCCCGCTCTAGGGTTTTTTTAAAATTTAGGTATCTGGTGTGCCATGAAACCCTGGACCATTTTTGCATTATGGTGTTCATTAACTATCTGTTGACACTATGAGGCTCTGACATCTGAATCAGGAGACTGGTTTGTGGAATTAGTTCTGCTTTTAAACTGGAAGTTATTTTACCATGATCCAAGTCCTGCACTATGAAATTATGGCTGGGACAAAAGCAGTGGTGGTTCTTCTGAAGCAGTGGGACCCTGGGAGATGAGAATATTTAGGTATGTCACATGGTTTAGGGGTAGTCAAAGGCCCTAAAAAGATCAAGAAATACCACATTGCAAAGCCCTACACCATAGTAGGACCAAAACACTGTGCCACTAAAACACTAGCCACCCCATTCCTGCTCTGTTCAAACATAATTTTCTAGCTTTGTTTCACTGATGACTTGAATCTAGTGGAGTTTTCACATATCCTTTTATATATAACTACCAGAACTGGCACTTTTGTGCTTGACTTCTGGTTACCTCTTTGGTCATCCCTGTTTAAGGCAGAGAAAAGAAAAAATCCAGTGGACAAGGTGATAAACCCCAGCCCCAAAAGGCAGCACGAACACTGGGCACTACATGCTACTCTGTTTCAGACTAAGACAAAGTAAATCAGTGGATCCCATATTTTGCAGTATTCCTGGGATAGCCTTGGTCCTTCATAATGATCTTGTTTGGTAATATTTAACATTTAATATAAACTGTATATTTTATAGCCAGCCAGTGGAAGCAGGAGTTTCAAGTAAGAATGTGTCCTTGAAGAGTGTCTTGCAGCATATTGAAGCCACACCAAAGATCATCCACTACGCAATCCTGGGAATACAAAAATGGAGCAGCAAGCTGACTTCTCAAAGCCTAAAGACCCCGTTCTCTAGGTGCCATGTGCATGACTTCATTCTCCTCAACATAGACTTGACTCAGAATGTGCAGTATGACTTTAACAGGTAAGTCAAGCCTTGTATATAAGCCATCCTGGACTCAGTACAGACCTATCTATAGCCTCGACAGTGTTTTTATTTCCTGGGTCTCTGATTCTTTGGAGTTATCAGAGATAGCCAGAGATTAGAAGCACAAAGGTTCCCAGTTCTGTTAATTATGTATACTAACGGAAGATGTGAAAACTGGTTTCAAGTTCACAGTGTAGGCCCCTTCCCTCACCTTTCCAACTAGACAGGGTCTCACAAGGTAACCTCAGGCTAGCTTGAACTTGTGACCTTCTGGTATCAGCCTCCATAATATTAAGACTACAGGTGTGAACCACCATGCCAGGCACTTCCTAGACCCTTAGTAGTAGATGTGATAAGATGCAAAGCACATTTTGGCTATTGTATTCAACAAGATCTAAAATAGACACAAAAACTGCTCAATCAGTGTGTGGACCCCAAAACATACATAGCAAACCCCCTAATCACCCTCAAGAATGTTCCACCAATGTTAAGACCCAGATGTCTGGATTTTAGGGGAAAAGCAGAAGAGAGAGATGGGCAGCATGGGTATGACGTTAACTCCTAAATAAACTATGTCCACATTCCTGGTAAACCTGAGTCAAGAAATGTTAGAGATCATAAAGTCACTTTTGTGTCAGTCCCAACCTGTGGCTCTTACAATAGCTGCTCCTTCCACTTCCATGTTTTAACATCTCCCAGAAAATTCTGTCCTGTAGTAGCCCCAATTTAAAACTGTAGCATCTTGCACTCTTATCAGAATATAAGAATGTACAGTTCTATTTCTGCACAGGAATGTCTTAACTCAGTGGTTTGAGACCAGGCTCACCCCACCTTCTCCTCCTTTAGTGGCTGTGATGCCCAAGTTAGGGGTTTTTCCAGGTGAGTGTCAAGGGCTGGCTCCATGAGGAGGTCGCTTCTTTTAGACTCACATAGGCCCCATGTTTTTCTATGCATGGTTGAGAAATGAACAGCAGTCGAAGAAACCTATCATTGTGATTATGGTTTAGGTATTTCTGTGAAGATGTTGACTTTAACCTGAGAACAAACAGTAGTGGTTTGCTCATCTGCCGCTTTAATAACTTCAGTCTCATGAAGAAACACATTCAGGTTGGAGGACAAAGGGACTTTATCATTAAACCAAAGATCATGGTAAGTTTTATCAGCTTGATTGTGCTTTTGAAAATAAGTATAACTTCATGTGAATATGTTATTAGATACTACATTAAGGACTATTTGATTAGAAAGTAACCTAAAGGAGTTAATGAAAACTGTGCAGTTTCATTTCTGTCACTCAGAACTCACCGACAGCCAAAACACAGGTTTTGACAATTCAACCATTTGTTTAGACTTCTAGTTCCAAGATGGCAGACTTTACATTATGATATTACTCATATGATATACATGAGATAAATGACAAAATCAACATATTAAAAGGTGTTCATTTAGCTCAGAAGCGCTTTTAGCATCGTATCTAAAGGCCCCTAGTTCAATACCACTGCTCCTCTGCTTGCTTAGTCCTTTTGTCAGATTTTTTAAAAGATAGTACCGTATAAAAACCTATAAAGCTGTACATCAGTGGCTCATGCCTGTAATTCTAGCTGTACTTGGGAGGTTGAGATCTAAGGCTCATGGTTCAAAGCCAGCCTGGGCAGGAAAGTTCATGAGACTCTTATCTCCAATTAACCACCAAAAAACCACGAAGAGATGTGGCTCAAATGGAAGAGGGCCAGCCTTAAACAAAAAGGCTAAGGGATAGTGTCCAGGCCCTGAATTCAAGCCCTAGTCTGGCACAACATGAAATAGCACCCCCTGCAACTCATGAAGAGTGACTTCCACATCCAAGGGAGTACTGATAGATCACTTACAGTAGATAGACTATTTTCTGGAGCTTAGAAATTTTCTCCTGAAATTCCTGCTTTTTAAAAAGTTATTTGAATGGGATGAGATTAACAGCAGCTAGAGTAAGACTTTCTATTGACCTCACAATGCAATGTTTAAAAAAAAAAATGGGGGGCTGGGAAGGTGGCTCAGTGGTAGAGCGCTTGCCATGCATGCCTGAGGCCCTGGGTTTGATTCCTCAGCAACACATAAGCAAAAAGAAGAAAGCCGGAAGTGGTGTTATGGCTCAAGTGGTAGAGCATTAGCCTTGAGCTGAAGAGCTGAGGGACAGCGCCCAGGCCCAGAGTTCAGGCCCCACGACAGGACCCAAAATAAATAAATAAATAATAGGCTGGGAATGTGGCTCAGTGGTAGAGTGCTTGCCTAGCATGCATGAAGCCCTGGGTTCGATTCATCAGTACCACATAAACAGGAAAAGCCAGAAGTGGTGTGGTGGCTCAAGTGATAGAGTGCTAGCCTTAAGCACAGAGAGGCTCAAGATACAGGCCCTCAGTTCAAGCTTCAGGACTGGCTAAAAAAAAGAGCCTACTTTCTCTTCATGCCTTTGCTGAAACATAGGTCAAATATTACTGTAGTTTACTCCTAAAGGGGCTTAGGGTAGGGTATCGGGACCCAAAATGACCAACATTTGACTATAGCATGTCACTATGCTATTGCGAATGCAGTAGAGTCCCCTTTAGCTGCAACTTTAGTTCAGTCATGGCCTAAAAATATGAGTTTCTTGACACCTAGGAGACCATATTCACATAATTGTACAGTACCCTGCTGTAATTTTATCTTACTGTGCCTAATTTACTTAAACCGTGTGTATAGAACAGTAATTTCAAGTATCAACTGTAGATCTCAGAACATAGTCCTCTTAGATAAAACTACTATATGTGAAGATTTTCAGGATGCAACTGTTATTCTTGGACATTTCCTCTTTTGATTTCAGGTGTCAGAGAGCTTAGCTCCCATCTTGCCCCTTCAGTACATCTGTGCTCCTGACAGTGAACACACACTGCTAGCAGCTCCAGCACAATTTCTCCTGGAGAAGTTCCTTCAGCATGCTTCATATAAACTCTTCCCCAAAGCCATCCATAACTTCAAGAGTCCTGTGCTGGCCATTGACTGCTACCTGAACATTGGACAAGAGGTAAAGATGGGAATGGTTACTCTTATGCTTCCCCATATTCTTCCACTTCCCACTTTAGTTTGATTTAGAAACTTAACTGGTGATAAAAGGAAGCCAGTGTCATACAAGGCAAAAGGTCACTGAACAAAAGCTGATGGCAACACTGATTTCACCTCTACAGAAAGAGCCAGCAAGCACTTACACCTTGTCTCAGATAAGTGTCTGAGAAGCCCACGCCAATGACCTTAGGCAGAAGCTGCTGTTTCCACTATTCTACTGTTCAGACAATGTGAATTTTCCCCATAAGGCTGAGTTCTATCCCTGTGCTGGTGGCTCACACCTGTAGTCCTAATTGAAGGCTGAGACCACAAAGACTGCAGTTCAAGGCCACTGTGGGCACACACAGGGAGCCCTCTCCTCTTTGTCAGTTGTGGGGCTTGAACTCAGGGCCTGGGCGCTGTCCCTCAGCCTCTCTGTGCTCAAGGCTAGTGCTCTAGCACTTGAGCCACAATATCACTTCTGCCTTCTTTCTTCTCAACCAACAGTTATACCCAGTGGTGCACACATGTCACCCCAGCTGGGAGAATCAAAGTTCTAAGCCACCCAGAGAGAAAAGTTGGCTAGACTTTACCTTGATGAAAAGAAAATAGGTGTGGTGCCAGAAGCTCACCATCCAGCTACGTCAGGACACCTAAAATAGGCTTATTACTGTGTAGGCTCAAGCATGGCAAAGTGCCCGCTAAGCAAGTACAAGCCCTAAATTCAGACCTCAATATCACACCAAAAAAAGAAAAAAATTTTTTAAAAGACACAGTGTTTTTAATACCTATGACTTTTAGTACCTACAATTTTTAGCTCAATGACTGCTGAATAAATAGCTACCAGGGGAAACCTTTATAGCTGTCACATCCATCTCCTCATCCCCTCCCCCACCCACTGCCCCAGTGGACTTTACCAGTTTTAGTTCAGTTGCAACTCCAAGGCTTGGAGGTGCATGTTTTCGTGGGTTTATTTTTAGAGTTTCATTCCATCATTTTCTGTGACATATGCTATTTTAATGGATTTTTTTAATTAAAAAAGGTAGACAAATCACCTACAAGGAACAAAACATTGTGCTATCTATCTATCTATCTATCTATCTATCTATCTACACACACACACACACACACACACACACACACACGTTTTCCCCAGAGATTTTTCTTTGCATGCACTGACACATATCTATGCACAAACTAGTCTAACACTTGAGTCTCCAAATTTAACAGTAACATTTTACATTCCCATCGTATGTTCCAATAATCTACACTCTAGGCCATTCACTACAGATTTTTAGAGGTAGAAGGAACACTTAAAGCCACTTCATGATCAGGCATGGTGGTGCACATCTACAGTCCCAGCACACAGAAGGCAAAAGGACAACTGAAGAGTTTGAGGCAAGCCGGGTGCTGGTTGCTCACGCCTATAATCCTGGCTACTCAGGAGGCTGAGATCTGAGGATCGTGGTTCAAAGCCAGCCTGGGCAGGAAAGTCTGTGAGACTCTTATCTCCAATAAACCACTAGAAAACCGGAAGTGGCACTGTGGCTCAAGTGGTAGAGCACTCGCCTTGAGCTGAAGAGCTGAGGGACAGAGCCCAGGCCCAGAGTTCAAACCCCACAACCAAAAAAAAAAAAAAAAAACCCTAAAAATAAAATAGAACCAAAAAAAAAAATCTGATGTAACAATACCCTTTAATAGTTATCTATGAAAGAAACACCAATTCCATTCCTCAGAGTCAAAAGCTCTCGATATTGGACAACACAGTCACTCTATTAACATCTATTTAACATTTACTATTATATGCTCATCAATAAGGTTTCCTAAATACATTTAAGCTTTCCTAAATACCTTTTTGTGGTTTTTTTAAGTGTACACTCTTAAGTGAGGAGCTCCCTTTGTTAATATCATAAATCCTTTATGAAAAATGTCATACTAAAGGGAGGTATAAACTTGAATAACCAATCCATTTCACGCTAAAGAAGACTTGGCTGCTTTACCTTACAGCATAAATACAGAGAAAGATACTGATTAATGTGCAGATTGCTTTCTGCCTTTTTTATACCTATTTCTGCTTGATGCTTTCAGGTGGCCATATGCTACATCAGCTCCAGACCCCACTCCAGCAATGTCAATTGTGAAGGGGTATTTTTCAGTGGACTCCTTTTGTACCTCTGTGACTCTTTTGTAGGTGCTGATCTTCTTAAGAAATTTAAGTTCCTAAAAGGTAAATTTAGTATCTGGATTGTGTATATGAATGGTTCTCAATAGAAAAATCAGAGTTGTACCAGGTATTATCCTGACAGAAGGATCCTTGAGGTCAGTTCAAGGAGGAGGGGGGGAGAGGAGGAGAGGGACAGGGAGGGAGGGAGGGAGAGAGGGAGGGAGGGAATGTATGTGTATAGTACTGCTAAGGCAGTGGGTTCTCATCTGGAGATGGGGAGTGTTCTGCCTCCTAGAACAGATGTGGTAAAAGCTAGCATATAGTAGACAGTGGTTCACAGAGTAACTCCCCCTGCCAACTATACAACCAGCCATTACCCAGTTTGAGAAACTGTTCTAGAGGAACACCTAACTTTAGTTTCAGCACTGGTTCTGTATGACATGAGGGAGCTATTGAGATCCCTCACTTTCTCCGTACTCTTAAAATCTTGTAAACCTATGAGATAAATTAAAATGCCCATTTCTAACAAGTTATTTACCTACTGTATGTTGGTTCTCAGAAGTGTTTAGGAATATATTGGGAGTTTTTGGGTCATTTAATCCCTGATCCTAAGCCCCATTTTTGCCTCGATTTCTGAAGGTGCTACCCTGTGTGTCATCTGCCAAGACCGAAGCTCCTTACGCCAAACCATTGTCCGCTTAGAGCTAGAGGACGAGTGGCAGTTCCGTCTCCGGGATGAGTTTCAAACTGCTAACAGCAGTGATGACAAGCCTCTTTACTTTCTAACTGGACGCCACGTATGAATGTTTGAAGAGACCAAAAATAACAAAGGGATGCCTAGGTGGGATGGGAGTGAAACAATTACTGGGGATTTCTTTTCTTCAAAGTACAATCACTGTGGAGCAAAGTGCAACATACTTGTCTATTCTCCAAAGAACTCCTCAGATCTGTCTTTGGGATCATTCTTCAGTTCCAATTACGGGACCTTAAGTTCAGGTGAACTGCATAGTAGGTAGTTATGCAATTACTTAGGATGGGAGCCCAAGGAGGATAGACTTTGGAGAACAAACAGTTTGCATGATTTTGTTTCTACTATATTATGTTAAAGGAAAAGCTGTCAGCATTAGGTAGCTTGAATGTTGTTAAATGAGACTCACACTATTGGTGTGGAACTAACTGAAGACAAACGTTAAGAGGCCTGACCCTCAGTTTCTCTTCAGATCTGTACTTTGGTACAGTATTTCTCAGGGGTATGAAATGATAAAATGTAGAAGATATTTGTATTTAAAAAAACTAGTAGTTTTGTCTTTCTCTGTGCAGTGTTAGTTTAAGATTTATAATCTTATATGTATTGAAACTTTTGGCAAAATTTCCACAGGAGTTAAAAGTTTACTATTTAAACCGAACAAACAAATCAGTAAATGCAGGGCAGGCATTGTGCGCATTTATGAAGCTTCTCAGCTTAGTCCCTATGGATTTCCCATTCTTTAAAAATGTCTCCAGTCTTTAAGCACATCATGTCTATATGGCACAGTGATTATTCTTGTGCAAATAATGGAGTACGTAGTTGAGCCAATTAAGCCACACTTGCAGTAAACCTGCACCTACCCTGTTTGGGTTGAAAGAAAGCAGTGGCCATCAGTAGTGTCAGGCTGGGATTCTGTTATGGAGTCAAATCAGCTCATTTCTTTCAGGAACTCAAACAAAATTTCCTCTAAAAGACACACTGAATATAAGCTGCCTTACAGTGAGAACATGGAGACTGCTGAAGCAGTCATAGAAAGAGAAGGAACTGTTTTTCTTAGTTCTCCCAGCCACTTTTTTTTGCGAGGAATGAGGAAGATTCTATGAAGTCTTTTTGACTCACTAAAATCTATAGGTGGTGTTTTACTAACATCAATAGGAGGCATAAGTTTCTATGGATTTCTCACCAAATAATAAAAAACAGGGTTTCAGAAAGTATTTTACAAGTCTATTGGAAGTTTACACTGAGATTACAAGTTCATCACTTATTTTCAGATTATTCTCATTAGTCCACATGTGTATCACTTTATCCCCACTTAAAATGGTCACTTTTACTTGAATCTATTTTAGGCCCCAGAGGGCCTATCTAAGCCTGCATTTACTTAGAACAAATAGTGTTAACCTATCAGCTTTATTGTCTTGTGATAACACGGAGTTTACAGCTAGTGAAATGATGAAATGTATTAGACTGAAACTGGTTTGCAAATCTCTTGGTTTTAATATAGCTACTTGTAATGCTTTAAGTGTATCTTGAAATGAACAATTCCTTTTAACCCCATTTTTAAACTGTCCTTCAAAGAAGACCTGCCTTATGTATGATTTAAAAAATATTGCTTTAGTACAAACTTTTGGCAAAGAGGTATGTTCTGACGCAATTTTTTTTAGAATGAATGTACTTCACTTCCTCCTGTCTGGTTAAAAGGGCCTGGTGCAGATGATATGTCAAGAAACCCACTGTCTGTGCAATATTTCAATAACACTACATAGGGCAAATAAAATACTTGAAATAATTCTAAAACAATTTTTGTACCTGGGGAAGATGGCTTTATGACTGAAAATCTAAAGAACATTTTTAAAGCTAGATGAAAGTACTCAAATGATTATGGCTTGTAAATACTTCTCAATTCAACAGTGTAGAAGAAAAATACCGGAATAAAGCCAAAGACTATCATCCAACAATGAAGAAATTTCAACTGATCTGCCTGCCTTCCCTGCCTCCCCTCCCTGCCTGTTTTACTAAGTCTGGATCTTTTAAAAATATCTTCTCAGTATAATTCCTTCAGGAATGTCCTCTTAAGGATGAAATTGCACAAGTTCAGGACACCATGACTTCTTAATGCTTGTCTTGGGAGTGTTCAGTTTTATGCTTTTTCCTTAAGATGCTGAGGTAAGGCAAATGGATTCACTCAGCCACACAAACTTACCTTCAGGCCTGCTGGACCTCGGCATCTATGACAGCTCACACAGGTTAATACTGAATGTAAACTAAAAATTGCAAGGATCATTGTAGTCAATCAGTTTGGGCTGTAATTTATGCAACGGCTTCTTATGACTTAGAAAAGGGGCACCTTGTTCCTTTACTACTGTAAAATTTTCTTAACCAAAATTTGGTGAATTTCACCAGTCTACCTCACATTTTGTTTTTATTCTATAAGTTGTGTCTACAGTATGTTTTATCCTTTCATTTAATTTGGTGAATGTATTAAAATTCTCTCCCATTCCCCACCCCCAAGTTTGTTTTCTTTAAGCTTATTTTATGTAAGAAAAATGAGCTCCCTGACTCTACCAATGTCCAAAACAGGATGGAAGTCTCCATATCATAGGTGGTTGCAAAATCCTCTACTTCAGCAAAACTAACTGCCAAGGAAAAAGATTTGTTGAATGACATGTTAAATAGCTACAGACTCAAATGTACATTTCCATGAAACTACAGCTCACAGACCTAGAAATGAGGCACTGTGAATGTTTTTTTTTTTTTGGGGGGGGGGGGAGGTCCGGTCATGGGGCCTGAACTCTGGGCCTGGGCGCTGTCCCTCAGCTCTTCAGCTCAAGGCTAGTGCTCTACCACTTGAGCCACAGCGCTCACTTCTGGCTTTTTTTTTTTTTTGCTTATGTGGTGCTGAGGAATCGAACCCAGGGCCTCAGGCATGCAAGGCAAGCGCTCTACCACTGAGCCACCTTCCCAGCCCTGTGAATGTTTGTTAGTACATCTCCAACCTTTTACTTTACACAAGGCAACTTTTCCTGACTTTAGAATCCTCAGGAACAGAACTTTGGATTACTAAAACTATGTAAATATGATGCAAGGTGCTATTTAATCTTATCCCACTTAATTTAAGAAAATGGCCATGCACCAGTGGCTAATGCCTATATTCCTACCTATATAGACTCCTCAAGCCAGCCTGGGCAAAGAAAGGTTACAGAACTTCAAGATGCTTTGGTGTTGCATACCTGTTATCTCACATACAACAGGAAGCATACAATGCTAGCTTATGCCTGCTTAGCTACTCAGGAGGCTAAGACCTAGAGGCTTATGATTCAAAGCTGGCCAGGCAGAAAAGTTAATATAACTCCAATTAACTGCTAAAATACTGAACTGGAAGCATTGCTCAAGTGATAGAACACCCACTATAAGCAAGCAAGCTAAAGGACAGATACTGAGTTCAAGTCCTAGTACCAACATAAACAAGAAATCAGATGGCTCGCTCCTATAATCCTAGATACTCAGGAGGCTGAATGCGGAAGGACTGCAGTTCAAAAGCAGCCTGGGCAGAAAAGTTCATAACCCTATCTCCAAATAACCTGGGAAAAAACTGGGATGGAGGTATGGCTCAAGTGGAAGAGTATGAGGCTACCAAGCTTGAGACCCTGAGTTCAAACCTTAGTAGTGCTATACACCCACCCCATTTTTTAAAAAATGGAGCAAACAAGACAAGGAATGGCTCAAAGGTTAGAGGCCCTGCCTAGCAAGCACAAGGCCTTGAGTTCAAACTTGAGTATCACCAACGTAAGTAACCCTTGTCCTAGACATGTGCCTGTTGGATCTCTCTATATATAGAGAGTAGTGAAAGAATTGAATTTGAAGAACCCATGAGAATACAGACCAAAGACCTTGGCTGTCACTTCAATAATGATAGGACAGACTGAGGAGAAGCAGAGACTGCCAGCATTCTACTGTTCCAAGCAGCAACCTTGGAAAAAAAATAACAACTGGTGGCCAGACCTTTACATTCAACCACGTGGCCCTGGAACAACATCTAGGAACAAACATTCCTGGCGTTACAAACATGGAGACTAGATCTTAAGCTTCCCTGGTTCTAGAACATTACTGTAACACTGAGGCCCTGCCATCACTGAAAAGCCATGATAAAGATGGTTTCAAAAAGGCCTTTGAAAGCAAGGAAAATCATTCACAGAATCAGTTTATGGGGCTCTTTACTGTCTAGAGCTGAGCATTTACATTAATGACACCAACACAGGGTAAGTTATAATAAAGAAAAAGTGTCCAGGCACCAGCAGCTCACACCTATAATCCTAGCTACTCAGGAGACTGAGATCTGAGGGTCACAGTTTGACACCAGCCTAGAAAGTCTATGAGTCTTTTATCTTCAATTAAACACCAAAAAGAAGCCAGAAGTGGAGCTGTGGCTCAAGTGGTAGAGCACTAGTCCTGAACATATGAAATTCAGGGATGGTGCCCAGGCCTGAACTCAAGCCACAGGACCAGTGTGTGTATGCAACCACACACAAAAGAAAAACATGTTTTCTGACAATTTCGACAAGTAGTCTAATTTTTTTTTTTTTTTTTACTAAAAGAGTAATGGGGACAAGGGAGGCTGAAGGAGACAAGGGACCAAAGAGTGTATCCTGTTTTCTGCCAAAAAATTCAGGAATCATGACAAAGAAAGAAGACATGCCTGTGTGTCACTACTCTTAAGAATCACCTGAGCAATATTAACCTTAAGGGACTAAGGCTGGACAGGAATATGCTGTGTTCCCATCCAACAGTATGAGACTTCCTTGCTGGGCAAAGTTAGCAAGCTCAACTAAAAATCACTGTCAGTTGTACTCACTGGCTATCTTTATAAGAGTCACACTTCTAGGAGATATACCAAATTCAATCTTACATCCACACAGATAAGAGCAGAACACATCAAATGATAGGTTCCTACAATGTGTATCTGCTAGATAACTTTTAAAACCAACTATTGAGGGTGCTAATAAAAACTATCAACATCTTTATATAACTAGAAATTATAGAATCACCCTTTCTGAAGCTTGACGAAGACACATTCTACTTCCTGTTACACTGCTGCCTGCACCAGGCCACAGATTCAGCTCTTTCTCTAATGTCCTCTTTTGTCTTCACTTGTGATGTGATTCCCTTGACTATTCTTTGATTTTTCTTTTCTTTTTTCAAGTTTTAACTAGTGTGCATTAATTGTACAAAGGGGCCTCACTGTGATATTTCTGTACATGCCTATAATTTATTTTGGTCAAATTCACCCCCTTATTATTCTTTCTTACCTCCTCCCTCATTTGAACCAGGGTTTCCCAAGTGCAAGGATTACAGGTGTGCCACTATATCCTGCCATTCTTTGATGTTTGAAACTCTTTCCTTGCTTTCTACTACCCTCTTCTGACTTTCTTACCTTGCTTCATGCCTTCTCTGGTCTCTTTGGACATGCTTAAACAATGGTATTCCTCACAGATCTATCATAATTCTCCTTTTACATAGTCCAGGATGATCTCTTCTAAACCTTCAAAGAACTAAACCCATAAATTTGCTCAGTTTAAATCTCCCGAACTCCAGACCCCCATATTCAATCATACACTAGGATAAATGTTTCCATTTAGAGGTGCTAAAACTGAACTTACCCTTTCCCATCAAATTCTCCAAACCCACCTCCTCTGTATTCCCATCTCAATCCATCAACCTACTGTATTATCTCAAACCAAAATTTACCCTACATTCTTTGCCATGATCCTCCTCTGGTCAGCTACAAACTTCTATCAATTCTTTTTTTTTTTTGGTCCAGTCGTGGGGCCTGAACTCTGGGCCTGGGCACTGTCCCTCAGCTCTTCAGCTCAAGGCTAGTGCTCTACCACTTGAGCCACAGCGCCACATCTGGCTTTTTTCTTTTTGCTGAGGAATCGAATCCAGGGCCTCAGGCATGCAAAGCAAGCGCTCTACCACTGAGCCACCTTCCCAGTCCCTTCTATCAATTCTTAAATTCTGTCTTTGTAATGTGTGTCCTATTTCATCCTTGGTGTTTCATTATTATCTACTACTAATTCTGTTCTCTTAATTATCTTTTAAATTTCAGTTTCCTCTATTATAAGCCTTTCTTCATAAAATTGTCATAATTAAATAATGCAGCCTAAATACTAAGTCAGATGTAGCAAACATCCAAATGCTAGATACTATTAATACTAATACCTTTTTTTTTTTTTTGGGTCCGGTCATGGGGCCTGAACTCTGGACCTGGGCGCTGTCCCTCAGCTCTTCAGCTCAAGGCTAGCGCTCTACCACTTGCGGCTTTTTTCTTTTTGCTTATGTGGTACTGAGGAATCAAACCCAGGGCCTCAGGCATGCAAGGCAAGTGCTTTACCATTGAGCCACCTTCCCAGCCCCTATTACTAATTTCTTAAAAGAACTATCTAGATTATAAAATTTAAGTGGCTATTTTCAACATTAACTTGACAAAGTACCATATCATCCATGTTCCATGTAATACTTTTTTTTTTTTTTTGTCAGTCATGGGGCCTGAACCCTGGGCCTGGGCGCTGTCCCTTAGCTCTTCAGCTGAAGAGCTCTACCACTTGAGCCACAACACCACTTCTGGCTTTTTCTGCCATGTGGTGTGAGGAATCATTCATGTAAGGCAAGCACTCTAACACTGAGCTACCTTCCCAGCCCCTAATACTAACTTTTAAAGAAACCAATCAATACATATCCTTCTCTACCTCCAAATCTCCTTAAAATCAACTGGTGCTTGTCTATGTAGTATATGTTACTCATGTGCAAATGAGAGCTGTATTACAAGCTCAGGGTTACCTTAAAGTTCACATTGTTCTTCAGAGTGAAATACGTATACCCCTTGCCCTTTCTACCCAAGCAGAATAGTCTTACACCATCCTATAAATAATAAAAGCCCCTCTTTACAGAAATATAAAACATACACCAAACTCTTAACTTAAGGTCCTAAAGTAAGATATGATTGTTTCAGCTCATACAGATAATCTATGTGAAAACACAGTGGTACTTCACTCTTGGGCTGTAGCCCTTTATTTCTTTCAAAGATGAAGTACCAAGTTACTCAAGTATCAGAAAGAACTTTGCCTTTTGGAGAGAAAATTCGGCTAAGTTGCTGCAAACTGCTAAGAACTACTTTTACAAAGTGAGTGTTTTAACCATATTTCGGTCTCAAACCTAAGAAACTCCCTGAAAAGCACATAAATAACAACACAACATTATCTTAGTACATTTATCACTTAGAAAAGGCTATTTTATTATTTTATTCCACATTATGTACAGGTCATAAAAGGCCACAGCAGTTTTTCAACATATAAACCCTTTAAAAGTAGAGGGTACTATGAAGGTTAGACAAGTATCAAAATGAAGTCCAATAATGTAGGTATATACTCAGTGCAGTATTTCTGAGGAATAATAAGCAGATACCAAGTCATTCATATTTAGCTTGCAACTATTCTATAATGATTTCATAAGCTTTTTTGAAATTTGCTAACAGGCCAATTGTGCCAAATGCATTTTTTAAAAGTGAAACCAGAAATGTAAAAACAAACTCAGAAAGTATCCATCAAAATTCTGGTCATTTATCACTTCATAAGAAGAGCTTTAGTTCTTTACCTCTTTCCACTTTATCCTGCCATCAAAGGTAGGAAAGAGAAATGGAAGAAAATGCTCAGTTTTCTAAATTTTTTCCATTTCTTTGGAACTTTCCTTTTTTGTAGGAGTTTTCTTAAAGTATCCATCAGGTCTCTTTAAAAATTAGCTTCAAATTGCTAAACACATAGTACTGTGCCCTTCTTAAACAGTAACTCAAAAACGTTGGTTTCCATTCTGTGAAAATACAATCTTTAATCCTATAACTGGTATCAGATCAAATATTAAAAAGTACAGTACCAAGCTACACTGGTATATTTCCATATTAAGAACTTCAAAATATACTTATCACTGAGACCATAGTCCTTGCATTAGTTTTCAGTCCACTATGAACAATTATCTGCTGCATGTAAACATGTCTAAATTACTATAGATAAAATACATCAATCATAAATTTCTGTAAAAGATAATAAAATATCTTTTTTAAAAAACAAAACAATAATCAGCTATGACTGCATTATTTCCAATTTTATGAAAATGGAACAACCATGTAGTTGTTGCCAGTCCTGAGTTCATTGTAATAAAAATGGCCCTAGTTCCTGGTTAAAGTCAGCAACCAATTCATTCTCTTCAAAAGATGTCTTCTGGTACTGCAGGCAAGATTGGTTTAGGTGGTACTTTGTCCATTAAGAAAATTATACACCAGAAACTGACCAGTGCCACAGTACTGGGTCGCAAACAATTTCCCATCAGGAGTAGGATCTGAGAAAGCAATTTCTTCTTTACTCAAATATGAGCCATATATAAAGTTACTCCTATTAAAAGAAGAGGTGGGAGGGAAACATGAAAAGTTTTTTTTAAAAAATCATTAAAATAGTGAAAGCCTGACACATTTGTGTTTTCTAAAAGGACTTAAGTAATGATCTGTGCTAAAGATGGTTGAAATACTGATTCATTTAAAGTATTATTTTTGATGTTTGTTGTTTTTTAATAGATGGAACCATGTAAAACCCATCTACCCACATCTACTCAACACACAATTAAGAACTTCTTCAACCTGATCGAGGGCATCAAAGAACATCAGAGGTAATACAGAGAAAGTGAACTGTTTCTCAAATATCAGGAGTAAGATAAGGCTGTTCTTGCCTGCCCAATAAATGAACAAAAGGTTATAGTTAGTGAATTAGATGAGAAAAAGAAGAAGAAAGGCATCTAGATAGGAAAGAAAAAAACAACTATCTTTTTAGAGATGAAAGGACATGGTTTATAGAATTCTAAGTGATTTACAAAAAACATGCAAGCTGAATTCAGCTTGGTTGATATAAATATTAATTATATTTTCTATCTTCTTGTAATTGATAATCCCCCCCCAAAAAATTAGGAAAAACAAAGCTGGGGAAGTGGCGTTGTGCTCAAGTGGTAGAGTGCTCACCTTGAGCTGAAGAGCTGAGGGACAGGGCCCAAGCCCATGACCAAACAAACAAAGAAAACAAAAAAACAAAGCTGGGGGACTGGGAAGGTGGCTCAGCGGTAGACTGCTTGCCTCCTATGCATGAGGCCCCCTGGGTTCAATTCCTCAGCACCAAATAAACAGAAAAGGCTGGAAGGTTCTGTGGCTCAAGTGGTAGAGCATTAGCCTTGAGCTGAAGAGCTCAGAGACAGCGCCCAGGCCTAGAGTTCAAGCCCCACGACAAAAAACAAAAACAAAACAACAACAAACCTGGGCACTGGTGCTCACACCTATAATCCCAGCTACTCACTCAGGAAGTTAAGATATGAGGATTGTGGCTCAAAGCCAACGAGCTGGACAGCAAAGTCTGTGAGACACTCTAGTAAATTACTCAGAAAAAAAAACCGAAGTGGTGCTATGGCTCAAGTAGTAGAGTGAATATAAAGAGGATCAGGGACAACACACAGGCCCCAAGTTCACGCCCCAGGATTGGCCAAAAAAAAAAAAAAAAAAGATAAAACAAAATACTAGGAGTAAGTTTAAGTATAAGACTATTAACTACAAATATAAATATTACTGAATGAAAGATCTAACAGAAACAAAGATATTCCAAGTTTATGAATCAGAAGACCTTAACCATTGTAAAACTGGCATTTTCCTACAAACTGACATATAGATGGCTTCTCTAGAGAAATTGAAGAGCTGGTCCTAAAATTAACATGGAAATACAGTGGATGCCAAATAGCAAAAATAATTTTTAAAAGAAGAAACAAGGCTAGAACACTCATATTTTCTCATTTAAAATATACTACAAAGCAATAGTGTTCCAAAGTGTAGTAGGTGACATGAGAACAGACATACAGACCAATTACTCTATTTATGGGCAATAATTTTTAACAACATGCTAAGACCAACTACTATAAGAGAATATCACATGTGATATACTGCCTCAAATTACATACAATAATGAACTCAAACTAGGTCAAAGGCCTACATGTAGCAACTAAAACTATAAACTCTGACAAGACAACATAGGTATGAATCTTAGTGGCTATGGACTATGCAGTGGCTTTTTATATGTAACAACAAAAACAAGAGTGACATGCCAGGCACGCACTCTGCCACTGACACCACCCAAAAACCTCTTTTGAATGAATGTAATCATTAAACTCCTTCACCAAAGGAGAACAAAAATAGAGACAATTTACAGAACAAAAAACAAATGAGTCTTTGACAAAAGAAAATAAGGGACCTAAAAGTTTACAAATAATACTCTTAAATTGAGACAAATTTTCATAAAAAGCTGAACTCACAAGAAACTTTCCACAGCTTGTTGGTTATGTTTTAAAGTTCTCTAGTATCTCATTGCAACAATGAGCTGTACAAGTCGTTATGTCGAAAAACGAACTTTACAACTTTGGTAGGGGGGATGGGGGGGAGGGGGGCAGGGTGCAAGGATATGAAGGGTAGGAAGGGGAAACAAAGGAGGAGGCTACAATGCTTGATAAGAAATGTGCTCATTATCTTGCCCATGTAATTGTAACCCCTCTGTACAGTATTTTCACAAAAAAAAAAAAAATTCTCTAGTATCAATGAAACTCGAAATAAGTCATGATTGTGGCCTAACATCACAGCTACAACCAAGTCAAAATAGTTAAGATTTAAACAAGAATGCTTTTGTTCTCCTCAGATTAACTTCACAGGGAAGTATTTACAGATCCAATATACTGGCAATTTTATGCAAAATTTACTATAAGTACAAATACAAACTATACAATTATAATTAAATGAAACGCCAGTCTTCATACTAAAATTCTCAACTCCTAAACTACTGCAAACCAACATGCAAGTTACCTTAGGCATTCAATCATGCGAGAAGCTATTTTCCTCCGACGCATCATACTGAATACCCATATCCGACTGATCCCACAGATGGCAGGTTCTGGCAATGTTGAACAGCACCAGGCTTTTTGCCTTTCAAATCTGACTTTTTCTTCTTCTGACCTGATCACTGGAAGTTTCTCTTCTATAACTCTATAGCCCTATAAATGTGAAAATTGAGGAGTCACTACATTTGTGTGGCTTAATAACTGTGGAAATCACTCACGGTTTTACTCTCGCTTCTAGAAAATTCACAAGCCTAGAAGTTCTAATTCATTACTTATGTCACTATGAGGGAAAGTCAGTTAATTTCTTTAAGGTCAGGGCTTCTCATGTATAAATTGGATATACTCATCAACTCACATTTTGAGAGATTAAGTAAGGAAAAAATATATAAAACATTCTACTGTGTGGTCCACATGAGAATGGAACATTTCCCTCTACCTCCTACAGACTAATAATCAGCAAAAATACAGGTTCAGAATTTAGTAGTATTAATGGCTGCTCCTATCAATGTTTCCAAATTTCTTGGATTTATAGCTGTGCAAGAACTAAGAGTAGGAACAGCAGGAAAATCAGAATTTTAAAAGGCTCTTGAATCTACTGGTCTCTTTAAATAAATAACTGTAAAAATCATATATCTCTTTGTCCAACATAGATGTGTAACTCATGTGGCAGAGTACCAGCCTGGAGCAAAATAGCTAAAGGGCTATATCCATGCCCCAAATTCAAGCCCCAGTACTAGCATCAAACACCAAAAAACTTTTTTTTTTTAATTAAGAGTTAGCATTAGTTATCTTCTAATCTAATCACTGTTGTAAGTTGTTTTTGAAATTAAGTAAAACAGAAATTTTAAAACGCATGGTTTACCTAGGCACAGTGGCTCACACCTGTAATCACAGCTACTCAAGAGATGAAGATCAAGAGGATCATAGTTTGAGGCTGGCCCAGGAAAAAGTCTAAGACCCCCATCTTAGTCAATAACAAAAAAAGAAAGAAAGGAAGTACAAAAGTACTTGTCAGCTACTTACTTTAAACCAATTATCACAGCAAGACTCTTAAGAACTACAATTTCAAAGCATGTAAAACTTGAAAAACAGAAATAAACTCATAGGGTTTTTTTTGTCCTTCTATTAAAAATTTTTATGAAGCAGCACGTATTTATGCAGGCAGCTACTGGTATGGTAAAGACACTAAGGGAATAGTACTTATATACAATACTAACTAAATTCATGAAGATGAACTTAGATGAAAAAAAAGATTTTTCAAGTGAAAATCGTAGAGTCAAAAAGCTCCTATTTGCTTAGGTTGGTCTTAAGAACTATGTAACAGGGCTGGGAAGGTGGCTCAGTGGTAGAGCGCTTGCCTTGCATGCATGAGGCCCTGGGTTCGACTCCTCAGCACCATATAAGCAGAGAAAAA